AACAGCATCTCTGTCTCGTATTTGAGCCTCTCAGGTACAACATCAAAACCTATATGTTAAACTGAAAGTTTAGCTTCTTCATCTCTACCAACCTCATTTGGGATAAATGCTGTGACAGATCTTCTGGGTAGTTGTTTTGTTTTTTTCCAGTCAGCTCTGGTTTTTGTTTTTTATCTTTTGGTTAAGAGCTAGCTTCTTGACAATCATTAATGTACAAACATTAATTGCGTGTATATTGTGTATGAGGCACTAATCTCATGTAGCCTGCAGGTCAACAGAGAGATTCTCTGAAAATTAAATACTTCAAGGAAGGATTAAGCCAGAATGAAAGGAAGTAGGCGTGATGGGGTAGAAATATAATTTTTTTTTTTTCCTTTTTGTCTTTTTTACTGACCGGTAACGGGATTGCAACCCTCGGTGTCACGCCCGTACCGGGGACCAGCAACGGGATCGCAACCCTCTGCGTTGCGCCCGCACCGTGCTCAGCCAGTGAGCGAGAACTGGTCTCCACATGGGATCCGAACCCTTGGCAGGAGAGTGCGCCACTGGGCCGGCCCAGAAATATAATTTTAATATTCAATAGTATGGCTTCATTGTTGTGCTTTCAAATGTAAACCCATTCTAAAATCAAAACAGGAATTTTGCCATGCATAACTTTCTTTCTGCTTATTTTGAAAATTGAGTTTTCTTGGGGAATTTGTTTTGTGTACACACAGTTTGATATGTTCTCACTTTAGTGTAAAGTTACCAGATGTGGGCGGGATTCTTGAACAAATTTTGAAAATTGAGTTTTCTTGGGGAATTTGTTTTGTGTACACACAGTTTGATATGTTCTCATTTTAGTGTAAAGTTACCAGATGTGGGCGGGATTCTTGAACAACATATTTTCATTCTTGATTTTATTTTGTGCTTGAAAATGTTTTTGTCTTTTATTTTTCATTTTGTATTTTAACCCATATTTTGTGTTTTTTTCTCTCTCCTAAAAGTATGAATTTACGAGAGGTATTAAAAAAATATGGTAAGGATGTTGGTCTTCATATTAAAGCTGTAAGGTCCTATAGTCAGCAGTTGTTCCTGGCATTAAAACTCCTTAAAAGATGCAATATCCTACATGCAGATATCAAGCCAGACAATATCCTGGTAAGTCAAACAACCAAGTTGTCTTATACATCCATATCTCTTCTTACTAGCAATATCATTATTACTATATTATTCCAGAAATGACATCTTAGAAGCCTAATTTAGTATATTACCTGTTACAAATGACTTTACCAACTTCTACTTTTTTTGGAAATTAGGCCATGAAATTTTGTAGAAGAGTATGAAGAAAGGAGAAATGGGTCCCTTTTTTAAAAATTTTGATGGATTCAGAGTCTGCACAAACCCTCCAAGAATGCTTTAATGTACTAATAATGGATTTCCTCAAGTGTCTGAAAAAACGCTGCACATATTGCTGTTTTGAAATAAGGGGTGTCCTCACTTTTTTGTTTTCTGATTTTATAGGCTGATGGAGTTAGGGACATTTAAGGGAATTTCTCTCTTATGGCAATTTACGGAGTTGAGTTTAAAAGGTGCCTATGAGTAATTCTCTTTTCCCCCCCGCCCTTTAATCTTTATTGCTTTAGAAGCTGTGGCTCCTGGGGGCCGAAACACAACAAAGCTCAGTTGTGGTTAGGTATTGAAAGGCATCCCTTTTGAAGTTTTGACCTCTCCTACTAATGATTTCTGGTATAGTAACATGCATAAGCAGTGTTTATGTTTTTGAAATTTGGAAATACATTATAGTGGTGTGATTAATGTGCACACACACCTCTCCCTGGCCCTATTTCTTCACCTTGTTCAGTGGTGTTCACAATTTGGGGCATGTTCACAACTTGGAGAATTCCCGGTTCATCTGCCAGTAACATGTCCTGTATTACATTTTTATATTAACTCCCCTGCCGTTAATGCCTGGGAGAGATCCTCAGGAAAAGCCAAGCATGTAAGGTGTCTTTCTACTGGGAACTGTTCAAGCTATAACAAAATAAATTCTTAAGAAGATTGTGATCTCATTAACGTTTGAGGACTTTTTATCAATAGCTACACTCTTTAGTTCAAATTTTTCTTCTTTTTTAATATATCAAAATATTTCTTTCTAGACTATCACAGTAATGAGGTGTGTTCCATTTTCATGTTTGGTCTGAGTTTGCAGTGTATTGTGTATCTAATGTAACTTGAGGTTAGGGGAGATGAGTAACCACAGTGAAATGGTAGGTACATTACAAATGAATTGTAGAATTGCCTAGCCAACTTCATAGTTGACATTTACCTCAATTTTGTTCTCTTTTTCTAATTGTGAAATATATTGTCCATATAAAAAAATGTATAAAATATATACAGTTTAAAAGGTAATTACGTAGTGAACATCTGTATAACCGGAATAAAATATTTGCCAGTATCTTAGAAGCTCTTGTTTTTAAAACCTCATTTTTCCTTGAATTAATGCCAAAATAGTATAGGGTTACACATGGATTTCAGAAACTGAATATTTTCCTATCTTCCTAAGAAGAAAAAATATAATCCTCAGGTAACGTGTAGAACTTTTAGCCCTTGGGTTCTGCCATCAGTGTGGTAGGAGTACCACATTCCTCATGGGGGCAGTAGAGGGTGTGCAGCAAACTGAAGTGCACATGAGTGTGGATACCCTGTTATTATTTAAGACATTTTAGTCAGCCCAAGAGTTCCACAGATAGATTCTGGTTTTAAAATGGTTCTGAGGTTTTCTCTGGGTATTGAAACTGCATCCTTAGGTAGCCATATTCAACTTATGCTTTAAAAAGGCTTTAAAAGAATTTTTCCATTTTAAGATACCTATTTTCCTGAGCCCCAAAATGAAGAGAATGGTAACTGATGTGCAGTTAAAAATAACTATTTCTTTTATTAGCTTAATTCTGTTAGTATCATTTATAATAGTCCAATCTATAACACTGACCAAGCTTTATGATATCCCTGTAGAGAATGCCTAGGGCTATTTAAACTGTTATGTATCTTTGGCGGGGGGGACAGTAGGCCAAGTTCAAGTCCCAACTCAGAATTTGTGTGTGTCTCTTTTGAAGGGGGGAAGGGACTCTGGAATATGAATTATCTTCACTTGTTAATCCTGAACATGCTTCTGACTCATGAGTGGCAGCAGTCATGGGAGCAACTCCAGCCTTTCTCAGCAGATGTCACTGTTACTGTGTATGTTGAAGTATTTACAAAGGAAAAAAGAAACAAATGACTAATATAGAGTTCATGTTGATCAGTTTTGCCAGATATATTTAACATTTTCTTGACTAATATCTTTTTATATTTAAGGGATTTAATATTTTTTAGACTTGAAGTGATTGCTAAGTTTGGGATGGTCTAGCAGCTTCGGATGAAGAATGTTTTGTTCTTGAATATCGTTTTGTCCAAATTTAATCTGAATCATTCTTCTGCTTTCATTGCCTTTGTAATTTTCTGGCAACTGAAAGTTGACTTAAGTATGATTCTTTATTAATGAATGTCTTCATGTTTCTTTAAATCGTAACTTGACTTTTATTCAGGTATTCGGGGGATTTTTAGAAGATGCTTTGCTTCATAAAATGAGATTTTTCTCTCACTACCCTACCCTTTTTATAATGCTGTTTGTTAAAATTAAATGACTTGGTATTATCCCACATTTTCTCACTGAAAAAAGTTTTTACTAATTGTAATCAAATATTTAATACTCTCAGTTTTTCATAATTAGGAAATTGACTTATAAAATAAATAGAAAAAATTTTTGAATGGGTGACTTTGTTCTCTATTGGAATTAATGTAACTTCTCAAAGCCAATTTTATATATTTATTTGTCTTAATTATTCCTGGCTTGAATTAAATTTCCTTGGAAAAATGTTTTTCAGGTTAATGAATCAAAAACTATTTTAAAGCTTTGCGATTTTGGGTCGGCTTCACATGTTGCGGACAATGACATAACGCCTTATCTTGTCAGTAGATTTTATCGTGCTCCTGAAATCAGTAAGTTTCTTACAATGTTCTTTGACCTTGGCCATCATATGTGGTGGAAACAGCGTATTTAATTTCTAAGCACTGTTTTCCATCACACTTCAGCAGCTGCACGAGTTCTTTCATGAGGAAGGGAACCATAGCAAGTTCATCTTCCTCAGGTGGAATGAAGGTAGTTGTGACAGGAGTCTTGATCATGTCGGGCAAGAGTAGCAAAACAGTTGTGGAAAATCTTCGACTTTAGAAGACTGCTTTTGATTATTCAAGGTCTGCTTATCATATTTATGGATTGTATGGGACCTTTCTTTTTTCTCTTCCTGTTGCCTTGGTGAGGCTGATAGCGCCTACCTCTACCAGAGGTGAAATGAAAAAAGAGAATTATACATATTTTCTTTTGCCCTCTCAAATCCTACTCCTCTCCCTTATATTTTAAGGCTTTTAAGTTTAAGAGTCTCTGTGTAAGAATTATTGAGAAAGAAAGTAAAACTAATTGCCAAACTAAGGTGTCAAGATTGTAGTTATAGTCCAAGATAGTCCCCCATTAATGGAAATAAAAACTAGTAGTAGTCAATCATTGTTATCCTCATATATTAAAACTTCTATTTTGTTTTCAGTTATAGGTAAAAGCTATGACTATGGTATAGATATGTGGTCTGTAGGTTGTACCTTATATGAACTCTATACTGGAAAAATTCTATTTCCTGGCAAAACCAATAACCATATGTTGAAGCTCGCCATGGATCTCAAAGGAAAGATGCCAAATAAGGTAGGACATTAACATGAGCTTATTTTCTTCATGGTCTTAGTTTCCTATAGACTGATTGACTGACTACTGCTGACACTTACTAGACACTAGTTGGCTACAAAATAAAAATTTCAGAAAGTCTGGTAGATGGCAACCATGATTTCTTAAGCTCCTTTCCCACTTCTGGTTTTTAAATTAGTGGTTCTAATCAGGCAGGAGCTATCAAAAGAGAATAAGAGAACTCCTTTTTCAGTGATGGGCAGAGAAGCAGAAATATTAATGTCAGTCAAGTTTATTAAAGATTGGAGGTTATCGGGAAAGGAAGGTACCAAGAAAATTCACTTGATACCACATCTTTCTAACAATAAAAGTCACCCTTGATACTTCAGCTGTAATACCAATTTCTGTTTATTTAAAATGAGCATGAAGCAAGACCAGGCTTTTATTACAGTGTCTGAGGACCATATCTTGGCTTTTTAAGATTTTAGCTTATTTGCTCAATTTTCTAAAAGACTTTTACAAATTTTTCTCCTAATAGGTCAGAAGCCATTATGGTTTTTAGATATCATCCATATTCTATTATGTTGGACCTGTTTAGAATAAGTTACACAGAAATTAGTTTCATTGGTATATTTAATGAAGTCTGACCTGTGTTATATTAGGGCTCTTGGAACATACTTTGTGAAATGTCATTCGGTTTCCTGACTGCCAAGAGAAAAGGCCTCAATTGTGTAATATTTTTCCTAAGAACAAATGATTTTAAGTATTTGTTTAATCCCCAATTTGAAATGGTGGAAGTACAACTTGATATTATAATTGGTTTAAGTCACGGCCTTGTAAAATATAATTTCATGTTATTAAGTAGTTTTAGATGCAGCATTTACATTAGTTTTTACAAAGACAAAATAAATTCCTGAGAGTAAGGGAATCTGAGATCAGACAAACCCAGAGAGACTAAATAAATTTGTGTGAGTGCTTACTAAATTGTTATGCTAGACTATTCAAAACCCAAGTTTTTCTGTTTTGTTTTGTAGATGATTCGGAAAGGTGTATTTAAAGACCAGCATTTTGATCAAAATCTCAACTTTATGTACATAGAAGTTGATAAAGTAACAGAGAGGGTAAGTCTGTTTTAAGTGTGCTACATTATATGGTTATTTGATAATGAATTGAGTAGTAGGTGGTATTAGGAGCTATGAATACTTTTTTAAAAAATATTAAAAGTAATTCCTTTTTGCTGTTGGCCAATTCCTGAATAAAACATCAGATTATGAAACAGTGAGGGGATTTTAAAATGTTTTTCTGGTATAATGAGTTTGTTTTTATGATAGGTCACAGTCAGGCCCTTATCACCTTACCCTTGGGTCACTTTCTTGGTCTGGATTCCCATCTAGCTTCTGTGCTGCTTGCAGAATGATCTTTCTGAAAACAAATCTGATCATGTTACTCTCCCTGCTTAAAACCCTTTGTTGTTCCCGTTACCTGTAAGATAATATTTAAGTTCTCTTAATGACAAACTTAAGTTCTCTGTGATATGAATTCTGCCTTTTTCAGCAGTTGCCCCTTTCCTCACTATATGTATTCTGTAAACACCACCATCCCACACTTGGCCAAAGGGCATGCTGGTTCAAGACCCTTGTGCCTTTGCTCACAGACCGCCCTGGGTTTATTTGCTTCCTACACTACCTCCCTCATCCCTTAAAAAAAAAAATTTATTCAACTTCAAGACTCAGCTGAAATACACATTCTATATGAACTTTTCTAAAACATACAGGTTAAAGTAATGATCTCCTTATTTTTGGTCCACTACGTTATATGTCTAACTTTGTCAGAGCACTTAACACTTCATGTTATCAAATTATTTATGTGTCTGTTATCACTTCAGGGTAGGGAAGGTACAGTTCAAACAGTAGGGCTTACTGTTTGTTAGTTTTCGTTGCTAACTTGGGATTGGTCTTTTTTCATTTAAGTTTTTGGATTGCTTCTTGAAAAGTCATAGAGGATAGAGGATACCATGTAAAAGTTTTAAACAAGTAGAAGATATATATTCTTATGTATGCATATTCTTAATACCTTTGATAGAAAAAAACCAGTCTGATATGAGTTACATATGTTTAGTAATTTATTTAGAGATATGCATTTTAAAAATTATTTTTAGGAGAAAGTTACTGTCATGAGCACCATTAATCCAACTAAGGACCTATTGGCTGATTTGATTGGGTGCCAGCGACTTCCTGAAGACCAACGTAAAAAAGTGCACCAGCTAAAGGACTTGTTGGACCAGATCCTAATGTTGGACCCAGCTAAAAGGATTAGCATCAACCAGGCCCTACAGCATGCCTTCATCCAGGAAAAAATTTAAATGAGATGAAGAAACTCCCAAGGGTTTGAGTAATTAAATACAAAGACTGAAGAAATTTCACAGCAGTTTATTAATGTATATAAACTTATAAATATTTCTCCAGCAAATTTGAGGAAGCATGATATATTTGAATTAACACCAAGGGTGATATTTCTTTTAGAAATGTTAGTTATTCTGTTTTGTGTCTTATGTGAAATTTCACTGTAGAACTGTTTAAATTGCCAAGACTGCACAAAATTACAATGCTAATGTATATGGTTGCAGTTCACATAAAAGACAAAAGCACCTGTTATAAAATGATAGTAATACTGGGTGGTTGATTTGTTTTTTAGCAGACTTGGCTTCATTTTGGTCTTCAGATAAAATGGCCAGCATAAATGCTGTTTATATTCACGTTTTCCTAGGTGTGTGTGTGCAGGCCACAGCAGCATGCCCTTGGTGTAGTCAGTGCCGAAAGGGGTCTGTTCCTTCTTGAGCCTGCCTGCAGGGATGGTCTCCTCTTTTAAAGCAGGTTGTGTACAACATTCAGTACACTGAAGGTAAGCTAAACCATCAACATCACTGGTGTTTTAAGATGTTATTTTATTGGAACAATTGACAAATAAGGGATATTAGCGTTGTGGCAGAATTCCCTGCATGTGTGATAACTTATCTTGTTTTATTTTCTGGCATTGCAACTGTGGCATAGTTACAATTTCTGTTCTGTTAATCATATTTAAAATTTGAAGAGTATGCGCTTGATGGATAGAGCGCCTTCAGTGTACTGTTTCTTATTAACTTTACTTTTTTAAAATCAACTTGCTATAGACTTTATATACATTTTGTTAAATACAGTTCCTAGTGACATAGAAACAATGAGTAGTTTTCATTTACTAATTAAAAATGTTGAGGCCTAATTCTGAAAGTCCTCATATTTAAAGATTAGACAGACAACATAATGAAATTTTTAACTATTTGTATGTCATTTTGAAAGTGTACTGCTTTATGGTAAAAGTGTTTTTCATTTGTTCATTGTTTTCATTATTTGTGATCATGTTGTCTTTCAATACAGGCATAAACCTTCCACTCTTGAACAAAGCTGCTGCTTTTTAAAAGCGGTAATTGCTTCTTTACCTTTTATTTCTTTTGTAAATGAAGCTTTTCTTTAAGGATGTGACTTTAAAGTGTTGTCTATTGCATAAAACAGTTGACACTCACTTATTGTAAAGTGAAGATTGTTCTACTGCATGTGAAGTGGACCATGCAGATTTCTGTATGTTCTCAGTATGCATCACTAGATAATAAAGTCTTTTGTGAACAAGGCATTTGTAGCCATTTTTAAAAGCTTTTGTCTTCAGTGCTGGTAAGTCAGGTAAAACCATTAATAGTTAAAAGCAACCTTTCGTTTTTTTCCTGAAAGTCTTTAATTGAAAGCATTGTTTGTTAAAGATGTAAACTTAGCCAAAAGTTTATCATTTTATTAATAATTAGGATCCTAATTATATCATCAAAAAAATCCTACAAATGTAGTCAGCTTTCAGTGTAGTGAGATTATTCCTGTAGGTTACAGGATATAATTCAGGATTTAACTAATGTTTCTGCTATTTTCTCACTTTTCCTTTTGATGGTGCGGAAAGAGAAAAAGGAAAACGGGGCACAGGCCATTCAACGCCTTCTCCAAGGGGTCTGATTTGCTGAGACACCAGCTTCACCTTCTTAACAAGGTTATTTCTGACAGCATGTGTAGATAAACATTTAGCAACAATTTAAAACAAAAATCATATAAATCAGCTTGGTTTTGCAACACAAAGGAATTTGTATTTTTAACATGGTAGAAGAGAATTTTCAGATGAGTATGAAATCTTTTCTGTTGGGGGGTAAAATTAATGCTTGTCTCCCTGAGGAATATGGATAATCAGATTTTAGGGGTTTAAATATTTTAAAATTGTAAATGGGATTTTTTTATTCACCCAGGCACCTAATTACAACAAGCATGCACATTTTGGTGCATTCAAGAATGGAAAATCAGAATAGCAGCATTCTTCTGGTGGGTTTTGCTCCATTTAAAGACATGAACTACAGCCAGGAAGGTGTGATAGATGATATAATAAGCCAGCCCTGAGCCTACACCCCGTCTCTTCATGGTTTAGACTTACTAAAGTAAATACAAGGTGATTTTCATCTTCAGGTAGAGTGAAGCCTTTTAAATAAGGCATCACTTATTTATTTTGCAGCTTTTCCACCTTAATGAAATGGGTACTGATTTTCCCACCATTATTTACTTTATTTTGGTGATAATATGCTGCATATTCAAGTCTTTTGTAGTTATTTTCACTCAAAATAGTTAACATTTTGATACTTCTGGTGATTTTCATGGTTTCATTTAATAGAATTATTTAAGTAAGTTAACTTCCATTAGAAACAGTTCATCTTATGCCTTCAAAACTATTTCCTATTCTTTAAAAAACAAAGTTGGTTGTTACTTGTTCTTTGTGTTTTAGGTGCAGTTCAGTGGAAGATGATGACAGCCAGAAGACATGAGCTAAGGTTTCTGTTCTATAAAAGATTAAAAAAAAAAAAAAGAATCCTCCATTTAGTTTTTGTCTAATTTTTTAGTTTTCAGCATTATGATTTGGGTTTCATTAGTGTTTGGTATTTAGAATAGTAGTGCTATTGTGGTGTTCATCTGTAAAGTGCTTGTTTTATCATTCTTTCTGCTTCTTTCCTCCACCACTTACCCCTCCTGTAAAATAAAAATAGTGGTCAAATTTGGTCAAGTTTAGTGATATAAAAGGCTCTTGGATGGTGAGATCCCACATAACACATGGTTGTCAAAATTGGATCCTAAGGATTATTAGAAAAACAACAGCCAACAAAATGGCATACATCTAAAAGTAGTCTTCAGCTTTAGTCAGATGCAAAAGAATAGAAACTGGAATTTTAAGAACTGTTCGACTTCTTTAATATCTATTCACCAACTTACCCTTTAGTAACCTTGTTTTTAACAGGGCTGTAGTTGGTCTTAAAGTAGACAAAATATTCAGAGCCATTGTCACCTTTTCTTCTTAAGGAAAATGAGAAAGGTGATACTGTACCTTTTTTATATTCCCAAATTTAGCATTTCTAGATTTATCTATTTGAAAGGAACCCTGTAAAGTGTCTTATATACATATAAATAATTTTATTAGAATTTATAATTTTGCTGAGGCAGAAATTTGGAACTCTTGCAAGTAGATTGAGGTCATTTAGTGAATGATCCTTCATAACAAACCTGCATTTTTGTTTCAGTATAGCTGTATAGTTTTCAAATACAGTTATTTGTTATAAAGTTTTTGCTTTGTTACACTTTATGGCAAAAAGGATATTAAGTGATTGTCAGACTTGAGGGTTCATAAATTCTTAAGGCATAGCTATAGGGTTAGGGGAATACTTGAGATCTAGAAAGTATGTATATTTTAGACACTATCTCTGGGTAGATTTCTTGAAGGTCATTAGAAATGAGGTTGCAATTTCAAGTTTTTCAGTAGGGGGAGCATCTAGGATAAATAAGCCCCTCCCGGTATTTGTATTCACCCTTAAATCCTTATTAATAATGTCTTGTTTCTTTATTCTCCAGTGGCTATCTCATTCTACTCTACTTTCTTTCAAAATAATCTGTTTTAAAATAATATAATTTTCATCTTGGCATTAGAATTACCACTTTTTTCCTAACAAAAATAAATACTCAGGACCTTTTTACAATATGAAATATTTATATGTTTTATGTTATGTGGTAGAGATAGTGTAATGTAATATTCTTGGTTTTGTTCCATATTTACATTCCTCCTACTGTGCTTTACCTGTACTTTGTCATCATTTGTAAGCAGAACTCTAGTTGTGCAGGTGGAAATAAAATCTCTGAAATGAAACAAAGGAATCACATATATTAAAACTTAGGCTAAGCAACTAAGGAATGCCCTTTTAAATATTAGAGAGTAAAGAAGCCATATATTCAAATATATAATTTCCGCCCTTTAGTTATAATTAAACTAATAGCTATTGGACTTCATAAATGTGTTTCTTTCTTAATAGTATCCTAGTTCCAGCATATATTCAACATAAATTTTGTCATTCTCCTCCTAGATGGAATGTCCTTATAGAAATGTTCACAACAAATTCATTTGTGTTTTTTACATGTCAATAATGTATACTAAATTGAATTTGAAATGTTTTCCAGTTATTTTGATAGATAACGATCACGGCATCCTTAATTTTTCTTCTCCTTCTATATATAGGGTAAGGGACTGTTCTTCTGAAGAAACTTTCCATTTAGTGATCAAGATATGGAAGCCGATGTCTGAAAATGCTCAATGTGTATCCTAATTGTTCGTGGTATCATTTGAATTGTAACTTGCATTTTAGCAACACATTCCCAGTCAACTTATTGGGAAATCTAATAAAATATGCCTCTTATCAACATATCGTCTCCTGATTTCTTTTCTTTGCTTGGACTTAGTATTTTACATTTAGTTTTAAGTTATAAACCCAGTATTCTACACTCAAATATGATTGGAGACTGCTGAGTTAAAGGGGAAAGTTCTTGGATGACTTGTGAATCTCAATGACAAGAAAAGGTATGGAGGGAAATTTTCCAAACTACTTGGCAGAATTTGTCCTTTCACAGAACCTTTCTGGTTTGCTTTTCCTGGTAATGGAAACATAAGTAATGAGCTAACTCCCTTTTCTATAATAATAGAAATAAATAGGTTCATTTCCCATTTGGAAGACTGACTAAATACTGGGCTCTTATCCTCAATCTGCCCACTCTTTGTTTTCTTCTTTTAAGGAAATATTTCAGCTTTTAAAACCAGTGAAGAAAACAAGGGCAGGGAAGTTGTGTGACTCTAGTGCATGCAAAGCAGGATTAGATAATGGGGGGTAAAAGTGCCTGAATTCATAGACGACACCCAGCACAGCTGACGCTAACCACCACCAACTGGTAGGTTGAATGGCAATGGTTCTGATAGCCTCTTAAAAGGCCTGGTTGTAATTTTCTACTTGGGCTGGCAGGGGTCAGAAGCTACATGAGCATCTGTCTCAAATGGCCATGAGCCTCATCATATCTGGCACGTGTTAGGGAAGGTAATATGTAGTGTGTATTGGTTGAGGACAGGCTGCCGCAAACTTGATGGATGACCTTTCACATGCTTTCTCAGAGAATCAGAACGGACCTCCCTAAGGTCCAACAAGGAGCTGAGAAAAAGTATCAATACTGGAGAACTAAACATTGGAATTTATGAGCAAGTTATCTAGCTAAATTTTCCTGAACAGAATTACTTTATATTAATTTTTATGTTATAAACTTTGCCAAATGTTTCCTTTTTCAAAATAACAGTAGAAGTTGGCTTCCAACAGGCCTGAAAAGTAGCCAAACTGTTCATTTCTACAGTTTTCCCCCCAGCTTTGAACTTTCCCTTAACTGAATTCATATGTATCGGCTAGTTGAACCAAGTTCTTCCCTCCATCAGTCTATAGGATAATCTTGAGATGGCTACATCTCTAGTTCCTACAAACTTGCTACTTATGGTCTCATTTAAATGCATAGAAAAAAATCCCAGCGGTTGTATTTTTACCAATTGATCATGACATGTTAAAATTATTAGTTCCTTCACCTTGTGAATGAAATTGGCAATGCTGTGGATACATTTTTTTTTTTTTTTTTTTTTTTTGTCCTTTTTTGAGACCAGCTGCACCGCGCTCAGCCAGTGAGCGCTGTGAACGCACCGGTCATCCCTATATAGGATCCTAACCCGTGGCGGGAGCGCTGCCGTGCTCCCAGCGCCACACCCTCCCAAGTGCGCCACGGGCTCGGCCCCTGTGGATACATTTTTGACATTTATATTTCAAATAATTTTGGACTATAATTGAAAACCATCTGGCAGGTGTTTCAGTAGCTCTCCAAGTCTCATGACATCATGAATAAAGTACCCTGGTTATGTTTCCAATAAGTTTGCCCATAGGAACCTTGTTTCCATCCACTTACCACATATTTCAGTCTGATGATCTAGCAGGTAAACTCATCCAAAATTTAAAAAAAAAAAAAAAAAAGTGCCCTTATCCGAGATGTCAAAGCCCAGAATCAGTTTTTTCTCTTATATTCAAACTGACCAAAGCAATCTCTAGTGCAGGATTCCTACACGGTACCGCTTACAGACTTTATTATTACCTCTACCTCTACTTATTATTTCCCTAATTCCTGTTTCCCATCTCCCATGCCCACTCCCACTCCTGACCTCACTGAAAGTCAGGGTTTGTGTCTGTTACCTCCACATCATGACCCTGTGTGTGGCACATGCCTTGTAAGAAGTAGGATATTAATTTTTTAGGAAATGTTATTTCTCCACTGACAATTCAATACCAAGGCAGCTCATTCTTAACTGGTCTGCCCTTCTGTGTCCTTATTCTCCCGAGGTATTTTCTGAATATTTTCCTGAGTATTCTTTATATGCCAGGCAGTTTTACTGTTAGTCACTTAATCTTCACATGGAGATAAAAGATATTCTGCCTAATTTACAAATCAGCAAAGCGAACCACAGAAAGGTTAAGGAAACTGCCTCAGGTGTTAGAGCAGTTAAATGGTAGAGGCTGGGTTCGAATTCAAATACTCTGGGTATGGAGCCAGTGCTTATGTCCTCAATGATGGGAAAAGTCCACTCGTCAATCAAATACTTTAAGTGTCTACTACCTGCCAGGATACAATGATGAACAAAACAGGTGTGTCCCTTCCTGAAGCCTTTACAAATAAAAATTACATCATTATGACTTTAGAGGTGAGGGGATAAAATCCAAGTAGGTGAAAGTAGAAAGAATGGATACAAAGGGCTGGTCAAAAGTAAGTTTCAGGACTTGAGGTATAGGGACTTGGAAGAATGAGAGTAAAGACGGTTGGCAAGAACAAAAACGGTTATTGCAAGTTGGAATTGAGTGAAAACAAGCTCATTTTTGCTTTATAATTCTGTGAAGGAATACTGTGCCACTTTGTATAATGAGACTAACTGTATGGGATACAGGTAAAATTCCATTATACTAAGGGAGCCTGACCAGTTACGTTTATTTCTATTGCTGTTTTGATATGGTTCCAGAACATTCTTTGAAATTAACCTAAAAACTAAGCATGCTTCCCGTGACACCTGCCTGTAAGAAAACTACTTGAGCCTTACTCTTTTACTAAAGGTAGAGAAGAAGAAACAAGCTACGGTTGCTCTCTTCAACATTTGTATGAATTACACTTTAATCCATCTCACCCATCCCTAACTCAAATATTCCATCTCATTTGTGGAGGATGATACACAAAAACTTATAGTGGCTGTCTTGTGTGTGGGGTTTGGAAGTGGGGAGAGGACTTTTACTTTTTGATATTTTTGGGTAATGCTTGAAGTTTTAATCATGGATGTTATTTTTTAATGTTTAAGAAAAATTTGAATTCATCAACCATGCACTTAAATCACACTATACCTTCAAATATCGAAACCTCGGATTTATGCATGTTAACATCAAGTCTTTATATGTTTCAAAGTATGAGCCAAGAACCACCTACATTGAAATCATCTGGGATATTTCTTTATAATGTGTCCATGGATCCCACTCCCAAAGATTGTTTCAATAAGCCTGTGATAGAAGGCAAGACTACTTTTTTATTTGTTTCCCTGACTGTTAGGTGCAGTAAAGTTAATCAGGCAGTTTCCCTTTTTTCATCAGTTAATATGTTAAACTTTAGCTGTTAAGAGTGTCAACTAACCAGGGATAAGACTTCCAGTAACATAGAGCCTTGAAAAAAAATCCACTAACATGAGATTTTGGCTGCTCTGTGGACAGTGATCCAATTTTTCCATCAACATTTTAAAACTATTAGGTCTAAGTGGAAGAGGGTTATTTCATGCCTAAACCTGTAGTTGGGCCTCAAAGAGAATTGATCTTACTTTCATGTATATGACAAAGAAGGGTCTGGGAAACAAAGTTTCTAAGGATTTGGTAGGATCCAGCAGATCTCATATATTAATTTAACAGAACAACAGCTTCTTTAGCTATTAAGGGCCAATCAAATGCCTAAAAGATAGGTCAAAATGATAGATTTGTGGAGATGGGGAGGGAGAAAAAAATAGGTACCAGAGTGGGAAGGACTAAAAAAAAAATCACTGATAGAGGTAAGTGCAATTCTTATAATAGAACACAATAAAAGACTACCACAGCAATAAATCAATTATACCATTTATGGATGATGGAATTATACTGGAAAACAATCACTACAAAAGAACAATCTTTTGAATAGTCTACCTTGTGAAACATTTCTTTAAAACATGCAAAAGGGTGTCAAAAATGTCAGTGTAGAAGCCCTTGGGTTTATGTATAGTCAACTCAGCAGTGATTTTCACATGTTCCACTCCACATCACATCAAGTAATTATTTTGTGTGGTTTTTGTTGTTTTTAATACCTGTATCTTGGAATGATTTAACCATATTTTAGCTGGGCTCCTTGGAATAGATTTGTTTACACCGAGATGCAAGAAAGAAAAGTTATTTTTGGTCAATGGGTAAACACTTAGCTATAAATGAAGGTGACAGTTTAGCTTCTGAATATAGAATGGTCTGTTCAGTACTATATTTTTTCGGTAAAGTTTCATTATGGTCCTTGGTGCCTTAATTTCTTCCCTCTGATTTTCAGGAAAAGACACAGGTACAGGTGAAACTGGTATTGGAGACCTTGGTGGCAGGCATCTTGTTGAGACGATTTTAGCCAGTGATTGAGTGGTTTGGTCAGTAGTAGGCTTGGATGAGAGTTCTTGGCATGGATTTAAAATGGAACTTCTGGGATTCTTAAAGTCTTCGTAAGTTGCACTCAATTGTTTTGTGGTTGATGAATTTTTTAGAGATGGTGGTCTAGAATTCCATTTATATTTGCCAGCATTGCTCCAATTCCATTTGGAAGCATTCTGTTCAAGCCTGCATGAACCAGAATTGTTTTTTCTTTTTTCTCGACTCTTATCTACACAAGATGTCTGAAGACTCAAAGAGTCAGAAAGTTTTGGCTGTCTCACTTTTGATATAGCTTTGGAAGAAGAGGGTTGTTCAGTAACTGCTGGAGTACAGAAAGTAGTTTGTAGTCTTGGCTTCTCCTTTTGTATAGTCGTATGTTGTAATCTTTCCAGTTCCAGTAAACGAGTTATCAAGTGTTCAACAGAGCTTTCTGGAGGCTCCACTGCTGCTTTCCAGTTTTCAGATTTTGAGAGGGCTAATTTATGCAAGTCCAGAGTATTAAAAGGAGGAGGGAGAAAATCAGAATATGGATATACTTCATGTGGTTCCTCAGTGAAAGGTTCTTCACAGTTTTCTATTGTTTCTGGCTTTAAGTCCAGGTCCATCTTTCTGAAATAGCTGAGTAAAGTATCATTCGCCTTCTCATTTTCTGATAAATCACTTTC